TCCCTAGAGTAAAGACTTCTCTGTGTAAAACCTTCTGTGTGTAAAAAGCTCCTTTGTGTAAAGACTTCTCTGTGTAAAAGCCCCTGTGTGTGTAAAAGCCTGCTGTGTGTAAATGCTTTTGTGTGTAAAAGCTCCTCTGTGTGAAGGCTTCTCTGTGTAAAATAAGCTTCTGTGTGCAAACGCGTCTGTGTGTAAAAACCCCTCTGTGTAAAGACTTCTTCGTGTAAAAGCTTCTGTGTGTAAAGGCTCCTAGACGTTTGTGTGCAAAAGCTCCTTAGAGTAAAGACTTCGCTGTGTAAAACCTTCTGTGCGTAAAAAGCTCCTTTGTGTAAAGACTTCTCTGTGTAAAAGCCCCTGTGTGTGTAAAAGCTTCTGTGCGACTCCTCCCTCCAGCTTTCTTTCGGGTCACGCTGTCGTCCAGTTTCAATCTGCAACATTGTTTCCAGTTTCAATCTGCAACATTGTTTCTTGTGGAAGAAGGCAAAGAACAGGTGAAAGCATCGCAGTTTAAAAAATTGAACATAAACAGCGCACAAAGTGTTGTAATTTACAGCATTTTGCGCTGTCAGATGGCAAGAACCCGCGTAAATACCACAGTTTTAGTCCCCGAAAGTGGCTAAAACACTGTTATTTACAGGGTTTCGTTCACGTCACGATCTTCGATTTTTTGGGAAACGCGTAAATACCAGCGTTTTTTCCGTTCATCAAGGCAAAAAATCGGTTCAGAAAGGGAAGAAAATGCTGTAATTTACAGGGGTTTGGCGCCGCCACGGGCAAAAAACTGCGTAAATACCAGCGTTTCGGCGTCCAAAAGTGGCCAAAACACCGCTATTTACAGTGTTTCGTGCCTTCCACGTTTTCTTGAAATTGCAAAAACACTGTGAATACCAGCAGTTTTTGCGATCAACACGCCAAAAATGCTGTAATTTACAGTGTTTTTTTGCTTGGCTTTCAAAAACACTGGTATTTGCGGTGTTTTGTGCATCTTGGGTCCAAAAAGTATTGGTATTTACAGCATTTTCTGCGTTTTTGCATGGCTCCCGCAAAAGATGTTAAAACGCAAAAATGCTGTAATTTACAGCATTTTGTGACTTTCGAAAAGCGAAAAATCGTCCGAAAAATGTGTCAAAACGGCGCTTTTTTCCGATTTTAGGTACCCTCAAAACGGGGGGGGGGGCCTTTTGCTCTTGGAGACGCTTATGAGCGACCCGGATCCCGGCCAAAAAGCTCTCCCCCACCCTCCTGAAGGATTTTTGGTGTTTTTCGGGGCCCGGCGTCGGAGGGTCGGCGGCTTGGGGCGCGCCTCACCTTAGAGCTCTAGTCGCTCTGGGACGCTCGTGGGGCAAGCCACTCGTGGGGAGCCGGCGGAGCCGAATTTAAGGGCTGCCGCCCCTGCCGCCGACCCCGGAACAAAAGACCAGGAACACGTCACGTCTGAAGCCCTAGTAACTGCAGTTAACGGACTGATTTGAAGAAGATGCTTTGAACACAGTATTTAATAGATTGATAATATGTTAATATCATATTTTTACATTTAGATATTTATATATCTTACATCTATTATATGATATAGGTATAATCTAAATACGATGTGTACGTATACATGGTGTTTATAATATGCAAATATATATAAAATATACTCCCTAACGTCGCTTCTGAAACCCTAGAAAAAAACGATTTTTGGGCTGCCTTTGGCGTAGCTTTCCTGTCGCTTTGAAGCCTGCAACCTTGCAACATTGCAACGCGCAACAGCTCTACTGATGGACACCACTCGAAACGCTGAAACACCTAATTTCGCGCCCAAAACATCCCAAAAGTGACCAGAAAAACTCCCTAACGTCGCTTCTGAAACCCTAGAAAAAAACAATTTTTGGGCTGCTTTTGGCGTAGCTTTCCTGTCGCTTTGAAGCCTGCAACCTTGCAACTTTGCAACGCGCAACAGCTCTACTGATGGACACCACTCGAAACGCTGAAACACCACCTAATTTCGCGCCCAAAACATCCCAAAAGTGACCAGAAAAACTCCCCAACGTCGCTTCTGAAACCCTAGAAATAAACGATTTTTGGGCTGCCTTTGGCGTAGCTTTCCTGTCGCTTTGAAGCCTGCAACCTTGCAACATTGCAACGCGCAACAGCTCTACTGATGGACACCACTCGAAACGCTGAAACACCTAATTTCGCACCCAAAACATCCCAAAAGTGACCTGAAAAACTCCCTAACGTCGCTTCTGAAACCCTAGAAAAAAAACAATTTTTTTCGCTGCCTTTGGCGTCGCTTTCCTGTCGCTTTGCAGCCTTCAACCGTGCAACTTTGCAACGCGCAACAGCTCTACTGATGGAGACCACTCGAAACGCTGAAACACCTAATTTCGCGCCCAAAACATCCGAAAAGTGACCAGAAAAACTCCCTAACGTCGCTTCTGAAACCCTAGAAAAAAGCAATTTTTGGGCTGCCTTTGGCGTAGCTTTCCTGTCGCTTTGAAGCCTTCAACCTTGCAACTTTGCAACGCGCAACAGCTCTACTGATGGATACACTCGAAACGCTGAAACACATAATTTCGCGCCCAAAACATCCCAAAAGTGACCAGAAAAACTCCCTAACGTCGCTTCTGAAACCCTAGAAATAAACGATTTTTGGGCTGCCTTTGGCGTAGCTTTCCTGTCGCTTTGAAGCCTGCAACCTTGCAACATTGCAACGCGCAACAGCTCTACTGATGGACACCACTCGAAACGCTGAAACACCACCTAATTTCGCACCCAAAACATCCCAAAAGTGACCAGAAAAACTCCCTAACGTCGCTTCTGAAACCCTAGAAAAAAAACATTTTTTTTCGCTGCCTTTGGCGTCGCTTTCCTGTCGCTTTGCAGCCTTCAACCTTGCAACTTTGCAACGCGCAACAGCTCTACTGATGGACACCACTCGAGACGCTGAAACACCACCTAATTTCGTGCCCAAAACATCCCAAAAGTGACCAGAAAAACTCCCTAACGTCGCTTCTGAAACCCTAGAAAAAAACGATTTTTGGGCTGCCTTTGGCGTAGCTTTCCTGTCGCTTTGAAGCCTTCAACCTTGCAACATTGCAACGCGCAACAACTCTACTGATGGACACCACTCGAAACGCTGAAACACCACCTGATTTCGCGCTCAAAACATCCCAAAAGTGACCAGAAAAACTCCCTAACGTCGCTTCTGAAACCCTAGAAAAAAACGATTTTTGGGCTGCCTTTGGCGTAGCTTTCCTGTCGCTTTGAAGCCTTCAACCTTGCAACATTGCAACGCGCAACAGCTCTACTGATGGACACCACTCCAGACGCTGAAACACCACCTAATTTCGCGCCCAAAACATCCCAAAAGTGACCAGAAAAACTCCCTAACGTCGCTTCTGAAACCCTAGAAAAAAACGATTTTTGGGCTGCCTTTGGCGTAGCTTTCCTGTCGCTTTGAAGCCTTCAACCTTGCAACAGTGCAACGCGCAACAACTCTACTGATGGACACCACTCGAAACGCTGAAACACCACCTAATTTCGCGCCCAAAACATCCCAAAAGTGACCAGAAAAACTCCCTAACGTCGCTTCTGAAACCCTAGAAAAAAACGATTTTTGGGCTGCCTTTGGCGTAGCTTTCCTGTCGCTTTGAAGCCTTCAACCTTGCAACTTTGCAACGCGCAACAGCTCTACTGATGGACACCACTCGAAACGCTGAAACACATAATTTCGCGCCCAAAACATCCCAAAAGTGACCAGAAAAACTCCCTAACGTCGCTTCTGAACCCCTAGAAAAAAACGATTTTTGGGCTGCCTTTGGCGTAGCTTTCCTGTCGCTTTGAAGCCTGCAACCTTGCAACATTGCAACGCGCAACAGCTCTACTGATGGACACCACTCGAAACGCTGAAACACCTAATTTCGCGCCCAAAACATCCCAAAAGTGACCAGAAAAACTCCCTAACGTCGCTTCTGAAACCCTAGAAAAAAACGATTTTTGGGCTGCCTTTGGCGTAGCTTTCCTGTCGCTTTGAAGCCTTCAACCTTGCAACATTGCAACGCGCACCAGCTCTACTCATGGACACCACTCGAAACGGTGAAACACCACCTAATTTCGCGCCCAAAACATCCCAAAAGTGACCTGAAAAACTCCCTAACGTCGCTTCTGAAACCCTAGAAAAAAACGATTTTTGGGCTTGGGAACTTATGAGAGATCCTAGACGGCTGCTGCCGTTCCATCTTATTAAGAACTGCTGGCTGCTCCAAGCTGGCTACTAGCTGAAGGACGACAGGGCGCTGCTGCTGCAGCAGCTGCTGCTGTTTTGGCGCAAGGACCTGTTTGTACTGCTGCTGGCTTCAAAAAAACTCTCTGCCCTGACGCGCTCCCCATTGCCGTCGGCCGGGGTCGACGGATATCAAACCGGATTTTCTTGTAGAATTGTAGAGTGTTCCTTCAAGCAAGCCATTGACAGATTGAAACATTTCAAGTCAGTCAGCAGGTAAGAATCTGTAAGACAGCTGCTGGGATATCGTCACTAGTTGCACCAGCACTCTCGCGCACGGCCGCAGGGCATCGATTGGTTTCAAGACTCTGATGAGAAAAAAAACAAGGAGAATGGCCACTAGGTGGTTTATAACCCAGTATAACTAGGGTCTAGAGTCTATGGTAATTAACTAGAGCTCATGGTGTTTATAAACCAACAAACATAACTGGGGGGTTAGGCGGCCAGTGGCCAATCCGTCAAGGAGAGGAAAGAAGGAAGAAGAGGGAAATTTGGTCTCGCCGTCCGAACCAGCTGAATTCGATGTGCAGGTGATCTTGTGATGAGTTTGGCATTAGTTCTATCATGGCGTCAATCACAAATCAGATGAGTAATTTTATCTGGAAAGTCCTGCGAGCAAGTCGCAGCCGGTTAGGATTGTGGGCAACAGATAACAGATCCAGCAATAAACTTCAAACGAAGCTTCACTCCCAATCTTTCAATCTTCTCAAGAATAGGGTTTTGTGGCAGCGCCATTTGATAAGCCAGCAGCTCCCCATCTCGACCGAGATGGCGCTGGCACAGCCTTTCAGACGTCTCCGAGGCTCAGGACAGGGGATGACTCCCAAACCCAGCATACTTAGCATATCTAAGTCCAGAAAAAAGTTGCAAACCTTCGCGAAACACACTTTTTTCATTTACAAGATCTCTGTGGGAGACTTCAGCTATTGATTTTTCCAGGGCTCGACATTATGGACCCTACCAAAATCATTCAAAATCTACAGATTGGCTTGTCACTTGCCTTGATCAGTCCCAATCACTCTCCCAGTTACATTCGAAGTACAACACAATATGTTTATGGATTTCCTGGCCAATTTAAGAAAATTGATATCGCATATATCTCCCAGTATGTTTGAAGAAGTTGTCTTTTACACGCTTCTATTGACAATCAGCGGATCAGACACTGCATGTCCCAATTATATTTGGACTTGTTAAACGCAATTTCAAAGCCACTAGCCGAGCCCCACCTCTGGTGACCTATATATATATATATATGGTCCAGCGTTCCAAGCCCCCCCCACCTCCCCGGCCATGGGTATGGGTCAGCCCCCATACCCCCCCTGTGGTGTGGTATGGTGTGGTACTGTCCCCCTGCCCCCCTGTGGTGTGGTATGGTGTGGTACTGTCCCCCTCCCCCCCCTGTGGTGTGGTATGGTGTGGTACTGTCCCCCTCCCCCCCCTGTGGTGTGGTGGGGGCATGGTTGTATATATATATATGTATATGTATATGTATATTATATATATGTAAATAAATAAATATATATATATATATTTAATTTACATATACACACACACATATATATATATGTAAATATCTGTGTATATGTATGTATGTATGTATGTATGTATGTATGTATGTATGTATTTATGTATGTATGTATGTATGTACGTATATGTGTATACAATATATATATATATGTATTTATGTTTTATATGCATATATATAAATGTGTATGTATGTAAGTGTCTATATTTATATATGAATATATTTATGGGTATATTTGTGTGTATGTATATAAATACAGATCTGAATATGTGTGTGTGTGTACAGAGATAAATATTTGTGTGTGTATGTATGTATATATATATGTATGTGCCTATAATACAAATATAAATATAAATACGAATATAAATATGAATATAAATATAAATAAATAAATATATATATATATAAATATGAAGTAGATACATAGAACGTGTATATATAACCATAGGTACCACGTAGGTACTTTGAGGGAGTATGTGTGCTACGTAGGTCGTCTAAAAGGTAGCATGTACCTAGTGAATGCGAGGCTGGTAGTCAGAATCGCCCCAAAAACCTAGCAAATACGAGGCTGGACCTCAGAAATGCTGCCAATAGCTTGCAAATAGAAGGGAACGGGGTGCTACCTGGGGACCCATACCATGGTGGGGGTGGGGTAGGAACACGGAACACGAGACCATATACACGTATATATATATATATGTATTTGTATTTAGATAGATAGATAGATAGATAGATGGATAGATAGATAGATAGATAGATAGATAGACATATATATATTTATGTGTATATACATATATATATACACATATACATATATATATATACATTTACACACATATATATATATATATTTATACATATATATATATACATATTTATATATATATATTTATATTTATATACACATGTATACACATACACGCATAGACCTATAATAGCAACCCCACAGAAAGATAGAACAAGAAGGTCGTCATAGATTTATCCTTTCCTATCCTTTTGCAAGTTTCTTGTATTGTATAAATACACAGGATTACACAGGTATAGACCATTGATATGTGGAGTTATAAGCCATGTCACAACCGCCGAAACCACCATTGGTCGGCCCCCAGGCGAGGAGCCTGACTTGGATGCCTTGGGGCCAGAGATCCAGGGCTCTATCTTGTCGGCCTTGCTGCAGGCAGGGGATGGGGGATGAAGGCCCTGGGTGAACAAAATTTGGGGAGATTCAACCAAAATTTGGGGATTTAAGTGGTTTCGGCAACCCAATTTGGGATCTAACTTAGAACCAACAACAAATTAGAGACTTTAAGTAGCAAGAATTCGGATTTGACCAGCAAAAATTGGTGAAATGGCAAGCATGGGAACTTAACCACCCGACATTTGTGATTTAGCCAGTAATGACTACTAATGTTATGAATTTCTGCAATTTGGCCCACAGTCAGGTGTAAGGGGATATTAAGGGGTTTACCAATTGGGTAGTCTAACATAAAATGGGGAACCTGACAATATAATAGAATATACGGGCATGAAGAAACAAACATGCGGAGATCATAGGGGACATGAATGATTAAGCAAACATACGGAACGGTTAGGACAGAGTACAAACCAACAATGAGATCACCAAGCTTAGGTGCACAGCACCAAAAAACGGGGATGCGAAAGGGCATGCCGGGTATAGCAACAAACATTAGCAACCATGACATGGCTAACCAGCGATAATCAATCGGGGTGCAACAGTCTAGTTGGTTCGAGAGAACCTTCGCAGGAACCCTCAGCATATTTGGAAGGGTACAGATGGGTACATACCCATGGGGTTCATATCAAGATTCCTTCAACTCATTCGAAATCCATGGAACTTCGGTGGAGATTCACCAGTTTCGTAGCATCTTGGGGGTCCATGGTGGCTCTGGGACTCCGACCCAGTTATTTCGATAAAAGATGAAAACTTGTGAATGGGTCCTTTACGGAAAATTACTCCCAGTTTTATCTTTTTCTAATCATTTGTACTTTTTTAAATTTCCATTCTCAGAGATCATCTCCTCCCAGAAAGAACACACCTCCCTGTTTTGGGAACCTGAATTTTTCATGGGACCTTTAAAGATGGGACATCTCACTTTTGCCCACCCGACGTTTCTCTGTGACATACTGAATCCCAGATTTATGGAGTAGGCTATATGACATATTCTTTGCATATCATCATTCCATATCTTCATCATTTTTCCATCATTTGTCTATCACACACCTGTTCAAGCAACTCACTATACACCCTGTTTACAGCAGTCTGCCAGCTTGCGTCACATCCCATTTCATATCCTCATCCATTTCATATCCTCAATTTGAGACATGTCTTCCCAGTTTCTCCTAGGTTACATCCTCATCCTATCCTCCGGTAATTCAACATAGTCAGGGAAAATAGCCCATTTAGTTCGACGATGTATGGAGCAAAAAAAACTGATTTTCCATCACCGGAGGATAGGTGATACAATTATCATAGAATCTTCACTTTCCTATCTTTCCTACATCAGGGACATCCACCCCCTGGCTTTTTTCGGCAGGACCAACGCCCAGACGCTCCGCAGGGGCAAGCTGTGCTGCGCGCAAAAAATGCTGGCGCTCGGGATGTCCGGGACGGCCTGCGCGGAGGCGCAGTCGAGGAAAAGGAGGGACAGCCAGAAATTCATGGCAGATTTATGGCTGAATTGTGGGACAATTGTGGGATAAGTTGGGGAATTAATTATAGGATTATGATATGGATTTGCCTGTTATATAACATTGGCCATTTAGGGTGGACATCCATAAATTTAAAAGGTTGTATATTGATGAACCAACAGGTTGATTTTTTTGTGAAGCAAAGGGGAGGCAAGATGTCAAGCTGGAAGGTTACACACCATATAGATGCACATTTATCTCTGTTTTCAGCCGCAAACAATGACATTCCGACCAACGTTTGGCTTGTAACCAAAATGGGTAGGAACATGGGGATATCCAGCTATATATATATATATGAATGCAAGGATGAACATCCAGCTATAACAGCTATATTTTGATGTTCAGCAGGATTCTAGGGCTTTGATCAAAAGTTATGTGTAGCGAAATATCAGACCTTGCAAACTAACTTTGGTCACAAACATAATAAACAACCCCAGTTGGTGGACGCCCAACGACTTGAGGGATACCTATGAGTGTGCATGTTTATGCTAACGGACTCGTTACCGTCGCACAAACCCACATCCGGTAGCCTGGGGTGGGGTGGGGTGGGATAATAACGTCATTGAAATTTCCACATGAACCTGCTGCTACGCTCTATGTTCTTCAATTGCAATTTCACATGAACTTGCTGCTACGCTCTATGATCTTCAATTGCAATTTCACATGAACTTGATGCTACGCTCTATGATCTTCAATTGCAATTTCACATGAACTTGATGCTAGGCTCTATGATCTTCAGGTGCCTTTCCACACATCCACATCCGGTAGTCTGGGGTGGGGTGGGGTGGGATGGGATAATAACGTCATTTGCGATTCCACATGAACTTGATGCTACGCTCTATGATCTTCATTGGCATGTCCACATGAACCTGCTGCTACGCTCTATGATCTTCATTGGCATTTCCACATGAGCCTGCTGCTACGCTCTATGATCTTCATTGGCATTTCCACATGAACTGGATGCTACGCTCTATGATCTTCAAGGTCACTTTAACATGAACTTGATGCTACGCTCTATGATCTTCATTTGCAATTCCACATGAACTTGATGCTACGCTCTATGATCTTCAGGTGCCTTTCCACACATCACTGGTCACGATCCACACGGGTCAAGATCCACACGGGTCACGTTGATGGCTTCTGGAAAGTCCTCCAGCAGACCATCCCTGGAACTTTGCCATCGAAAAAGTGCCAGGCACGCAATCTTCAAATATGGAGATGCATGCGCTCTTTCCAGTGGCGGTGGGAGTGCGCAGGGAAAAACCTGATGGAATCCACCGCTGACACGTTGAAGAAAATGTGAGAAAAAGTTGCGGTTGCCCTTTTTGAGGCTGAAGTGATGGAAGGGTTGTCATTCCAAAAGTAGACGGACCTTTTTTTTTTGATAGGTTTGGAATGCAAAAACTGCCTCCTCGCCGTGAGGACGTAGTAATTTTGATCTTTTTCGCACGCCGGTAACGCTTCCGCCGGGATGTTTATCTTGGAGATATTACCAACATGAATGGACAGACAGGGGGTAAAACTTGGTCCATTTTCAGGTCATTCCCGTGGATTCTGCCTACAACACACGGACATATTTGTCATGAACTGTTTGGGACTCACCGCATGGCAGATTTCGTACCCGACCTATAGATCAAACGGACGTATTCTAGCTCGGCGATTTTACTGGAGAACATGGGGATTCGGCGGATGAGATTCGATTGCCAGGGTTGCTCAATTATTAATTACCACCATGGACTTCATGGCAACATCACTTGGATGTAACTTACTTCTGTTGGCTGCAACTGGAAGGGCCAGGGGCGCACATCTCCCACAACCCCAATGGAGTGTATCATGTATGCCAGGGTCAAAGCACATTTCATCTACATCCTGGAAGAAATCCGATACTTTTGCTGCTTGTTTTTGGGGAAGCTATAGAGTGGCCATGCCGAGGCGGAAGCCGACCTCCCTTGCCTTCTGCTGGCGCATCAGTCTTGAGCCGCGAGGCAAGGAGGACATCTCAAGCCAACCTAGGAACGCCAACGTGGGGCTTCTTAACAATCATTTGCTGAGTGGGTGATTTTTTATTTTCCCAACGGGGATCCACCATGACAATGACTGGGTAATCTACGGGTAATATGTTGCGTTTTTGTTTGAATTTTCGGGCCCCAGCAAATCCAAGTTTAAATTGAGTAGCACCACCAGACCCTCCGCTGAACATGGGACAATGTGCCGCCATTTGGAAACCAAAATCACTTGCAGTTCACTTTCCAGACAGTCCATCTTGGGGATGTGAACACGAGACTGAATTTACCATGGTTTGACATATTTGACATCTCATTTTCCCATGCCTATGTACCCTATCATATCCTAGCAACATTTGCTTCTCCCTTGTTTCAAGAGCTTGATTCAAGAGGAAAATCACAGCACGCACGCTATAGTTTTCTTACCGATCCAAATTTGTTGGGTTTTCCTGTCTTTTGTTGTTACCACAATCCCAGTACACCTCATGGTTGTTGTTAGTTATATGATTGTTGCTTCAGACTTTTTTCTTACATGCACCATCAAATACCCCTATATCTCGCATCCAGTCTTTTGTGGTCGGGTTATATCTGCAACTATCCTAATGTATGTTGGTTGTAGAGTTCTATAAGTTACTGTATATATATATGTACATACATATATTTCAATTTCTGAAGGTAAAGG